TGTGTGCCGGTGAAGAGGGCGCCCCGGATTAAGTCTGGGGGCGGAAGGTGGCCATTTCAGGCGACTCCCTCGTTGTTTCGCGCGGGGCGGTGGGTGACCACTGGTTTCCGGTCCTTGCACTGCCGGGGTGACTCAATTTTAGGTTTCTGTTCCCCACCCTCTGAAGATCTGTCAGTTCTCATTAGCTGGAGCTTCCGGTTAGGGGGTGGTCATCGCAGGGGCGTGGCCAAGCTGGCGGGGCCGGACGGGGCGGGGTGGTATCTGCGTCCTGATTGGGTGAGCTTATCAGACTCAGGTCCCCCTCACCTCCCCAGGTTGAGGATAGAATGAGGGGCTCCGGATTAGGTTTTTCTTTATCTTTATTTTTTTGCGATACTGGGGATCGAACTCAGGGCCTTCTCACTGAGCTGCATCCCCAGTCCATATTTTTAAATTTTGAAACAGTCTTGCTAAATTACAAGGCCCAAACTTGGGAGTCCTCCTGCCTCAGCCTCCCAGAGTATTTGGATTACAGGCATGAACCTCCACGCCTAACCATGTTACACATTTAAAAAGCAAAGAATCTGCTCACTTTGGATCTCCGCTGTCCGCGAAGAAGGCCAGCGGCCATATGTGACTACTGATCACTTGAATGTGGGTATGACGAATGGTGTTGCCCTTCTGGTGTGTGTTAAAAATCTGGCCTTAAAAAACAGCACGAGAGGGGGCCTGCCCATTAGCTCAGTTGTTTAAGTGCGTGCTTAAACAAAGCAGTCAGACTCAGGACGCTGTGGTTGGATCCCCAGAACTCGGGCCAACCAGACCTGCCCTGAAGGCATTGTAAGACTGCCAAAAAACAAACAAACAAACAGCACGAGAGTAGGCCTGGAGTATAGCTCAGTGGCACAGCGCCTGCCTGGCAAGCACGATGTGCTGAGTTCGATTCCTGGTGCAAAAAAACAGCATGAGAAAAAAAAATCTCAAAAAAAAAATAAATAAAACCTCGGGGCCGGGGAGATGGCTCAGTGGAATAAGTGCTTCCCTTGGAAGTGCAAGAGCCTGAGTTCAATCCCCGGTTCCCCCCCACAAAAAAAAAAAGATTAAAAAAATAAAACCTCATTAGTAAGTCTTTAGACTATATTTAACATATGTTGAGATCATAATATTGTGGACCTGTTGGATTGATAGATAAAATCAGATTTAAGGTCAGTAATCTCTTTGTGCTTTGATAGTGCGGCTACTTGACAATTTAAAATGGTTTATGTGGCTGGCCGTGTGTTTCTGTTGGACAGCTCTCGACAGGAGCATCCGAATGGGGGGAGGGGTCGAGCCCTGTTTGCCATCTGCTAGCCTTTTCCTCCTTCTCTGGAGGCAGGCTTGTGGCCTCCTTCCCTGGAGACGCTCAAGTAATCTGAGGTCTTTCCTCTCACCCTCATTTGAACTGAGGAGCTGAATTGCTGCGGGGGGGGGGCGGCGGCGGGTGGTGTCTTGTCCTAATTTGTCCTAATTGTTCCAAGTTAATGGACGCAATTTCCTTTCCTGAGAAATTTCAGCCCCTTATCTGCTGTATGCCGAGGCTGGGGCTGGTTGGATGAGGTCCATCCTAGAATCAGATCTTGTTACTGAGGATGAGTGCTATCTGGCAAACAGCCCATTGATTTTTTTTTTTTTTTTTTCCACCCAAATGTCCTGGAGAGATCCTGCCCTGGTCTGTGTTGCTGTGACTTTAGGTTGGGAGTTATACCCGGACATCCTCTTCTTTCTTATTCCTCAATTCTTAATTTTGACTAATTTTAAAACCTGCCGATTTGCGTGGCTTAAATGTATGTTTTAAGTGGAAGAAATCAATTTTGATAGAATCTCTCAACTCTCCCAAGGAGTTGAACATTCTGATAATGGAATAGAACAAAAAGCCCTGTCTGTATCTGTTGCCACAAATGCTTTGGAATGAGCTTTCTAGATAAGAGTACGATATGATGAAACTTGTTTTCTAGATTACCCCCCACCTCCACCCCACCCCCGGTTCTGAGGATTGGACCTAGTACCTTTGCACTGAGTTAGATCTCCAGCCCTTTTTGTTTTCTGAGACAAGGTCTCAAATTGCCTAGGCTGGACTAAACTTGGAATCCTTCTGTTGCAGACTCTCATAGTGAGTGAACTACCCTGCCCAAGTCTAGAGAGTATCTTAAATTGTTTTGCTTGTGAAATTTGTTTCCTTTAAAGTCTGAAATGTTTACAAATCAAGAAAATGTCTTAGATAACATTCTTAAAATAAGAAATATTAAAATATGAATCTAATTTTTAAATTAATACTGGCAATAATATATGTTTTAGTTCTTTGTTTTTCTGCCACACACATTTGATTAAGTAAGGTGATAGTCCTGATGTAAACAAAGCATGTGTTTACCTGTCTCTACCAGGTTGTCCCAATGAGAAGTTTTTTTTTTTTTTAATTTTAAGAGTTTAGCATTGTGTTCTTTACTTAATTGGTGTTGGTTGGCTTCATGTGCCCCATGAAGCTTCAGGAGCCATGGAATGGAATAGTGAGAAGGGCAGAAAATAGAAAAGCACCAAGTTTGTATTTTATGAAAAGACCTAGGGTTGGAAGTGTTGACCTGGTGAGAAGGCAGTAGCGTGTTGGGGCCTTTGACTCTGGTGCGAAGACCTCCTACCTGGTCCTGGGTGCCTCAAGACAGTCTGAGGGAGCCCCGGGAAATTGCAGATGACGAGGATTTGCCGTGGAGTCAGAATTTTCTGTTGAACCCTCCTGCAAAGAGTTTGTGTGTGTAGTTCCCCAAGAGACGGGAGGACCTGAGAACCACCTCGAAAGGCTGGCTTTAGGGAGGTTCTGACTGATGCTTTACCTTATGGCATCTGAAATCCATCAGCAGTTTCAGAGTGAGCCATTTCTGGAGTAGAATACCTGTCCCAAACAGCAGAATACCTTCCTGAGGCTGTTTGAGCCTCTATCAATGAAGTTTTATTTTCAATAAAAAGAGGAAACTTTTACAGAGTAGAATGTGCTTAACAATGAGGTGGGCGTGGAGCCCCAGGGCTCTGCTAAGTGTTGCAGGGAGTTACTTGTTGCTATAAAAGATCAACTGTAACCTTTTTTGTAACTACTTTTTAGTTGCTTAAAAGGCTTTGTACTAACCTCCCTGTTGGGATAAAAGTGAACATAGATGGTAATTGTAATCTTTGGCTGAAAACTCTGGAATACCTTTTTAGGCAAAAATACAAACACTGCCTGATGACTTCTGTGCTGCTTTCCTGGAACACTTCTGGTCCTATGTTAACGACTTGTAGTTGGGACTGCTTCATTTAAGATATTTCCGTCTAAACACATTGTATTCTGGATTGAACATGGGCATATATTTCCTCGGAGTTTGATCTTGATTCTCTGTCTGTTGCATTTCTGGAAAAGTGCTTTAAGTTCTTTAAATGACATCCTTTGAGCATGATTTTGTGCATACTTGTGTGGCTGTGTTTATTCTGTTTCTCCCAAATGGCCATGAAGTGCCTGCCTGTCTTGTCATATCCCTGCCTCTGCAGGGTCCCTTAAGACCTTAGCTGACCCCCCCCCCCCCTTGGGATTCAGACCTTGCGTAATAGCAAGGCAGTTAAATGTGCTTGGGGCCAGCCTGTCTGGCTTTGAAATCCAGCTCTGCCGCCTGCCTCCTAGCTGTGTGGTCCTGGCGGGAATGTCATTTCTGTTTGCTCATAGCACCTATCTCTTAAGGTTATCAGATTTAAATGATTTAATACACCCAAAGCACTTAGCATAGCACGCGGCACCAGGGCAAATGTTAGCTCCTAGTCTCAGTATGTTGCAGTCGTGTTCAGTTACTGCTTCTGTTCTGCTAGTGGGAGCTAGCTTCTGATGTTACCCTTTAAGGCTAAAAGCTCGTGGATATGAATATATTTGTCCCTTCACTGGCATTGTACTAGACATCAGGACAATGAGTTTTGCCAACCAGGCACTGACTAAACCTCTAAGGAATTATAAGGAACATGCAGCATACCTTTTGTCCTTACTTTCAGTTGAGGAGTAGATTTTAAGTCAAGTGGGCCAGAGAGATTATATACCCTTATTTACAAGGGTTTAATTTTGTGAAATTAACTCCTATTTCATCAAGCTTCTTGCTTGGCAATGGACCGTTCGTAGCTAGGCATGGTGGCTCAGATTCCCAGCACTCCAAGCACCTGGGAGGCTGGGGCAGGAGGCTCCTGAGTTTGAGGCCAGTATGGGGTTATAGAGTGAGTTTGAGGCCAACTTGAGTTATACAGGATCCTGTCTCACACCCTAACCCAATAAAAATAAAACAGTTGCTGTGAGAAAGTCCCATAGCGGTGCTGTACCAAAAAGTCCCACTCTCTGTTAGAGTACTTGCCTAGCATGCAAGAGGCCCTACTTGATCCTAGCACTACCAAAACAAATAAATAAACAAAACAGCCCCCAGACAAACTCCTATAACCAAAGTAAAATGATTGACATCAAATTTGGGGAAATACTAACGTAACACCTTAGTATAGATCTTATATGTTTCCTCAAAACGTAAAAAGCTTTCACAAGTACAAAAATGTTCAACCTTATTGATTAAATGGGCACAGGTCAGGAAGGGGTACGTGAAGAGGGAGGTACCGGTATCTTTTCTTACTCTGAAGAGATACTTGGCCTTACCCATGACGGAGCAAGTCAGACCTGACCTTCCTTCTCACAGCTCACCTCCCTGACTGACAGAGGTGAACAAAGTTGCTGATTCAAAGCTGGGCATGGTGGTTCATACCTGCAATCCCAGCATTCAGGAGGTTGAGGCAGGAGGATCATTGCAAGTTTGAAACCTTGCAAAGTGAGCTCAAGGCCAGCCTGAACTGCACAGTGAGACCGTCTCAAAGACAAAAAAACTGGGCTGGTGAGATGGCTCAGTGGTCTAAAGCACCTACTTAGAACAAGCTTAGCAAAGCACAGGGACCACAGTTCAATCCCCCAGCACCACATGCCAGCCAGCCCCGCCCCCTGGTGGGCTGAGCTGGCCACACACACACACACACACACACACACACACATAATTAAATAAATAAATTTTTTAAAAAAGACAAAAAAACCTCTGCTAATTCCTTGGTTGGGTAGTGGAACTGGAGCCCTCATGCACTGTTTTGTTTTTGAGACAGAGTGTCACTATGAAGTTCAGGCTGGCCTTAAACTCAGGTGATCCTCCTGCCTCAGCCTCTGGAGTGCTGGTATTACAGGCATGCACCACCATGCCAGGCTTCAACCTCTGTTGGCAGTGTGTCATTTGGTATGCCTTAGCAACAGCTGACATAGTAAATGTGTGCCCTCTGTCCTATAGCACATTAATATCTCTTCTTTAAAGAGATCCTTCTACCTATCATGAAATGTCCTGTGTGATGAACTGTTACAGCTACAAACAAGTAGGACATCTTTAATCATCCAGGAGACTGATTAAATCATGGCACAACTGCGTCCTGGAATATTTTGTGTGTTTGTGGAATGACTCTTCAAGGTTGGATATTTACTGCAAAAAATGAAGTACAGAATGTGCTAGCAGCCCTGGTTTACACAGAAAAAGAATGTGTGCACAGAAAACTTTTAATTTTTTGAGATACTTACATCCTTGGAGGAAATTACAGAAGTAGTGCGTGGAGGCCATGGGCCCTCCAACTGGCCTCACCATTGGTGACAGAAACCTGTAGTTCACGTCATAACCAGGAAGTTGCCATTCGAGTAATACTGCTGACCAAATTACATACCTTAAAAAAAAATTACAGACCTACTCTTACGTTTCCCCTTGTTGGCATTGAACCTAAGGGTTGCTGGGCTATATCTAGCCTTTTTTTTTGAGACAAGGTCTCCCTGAGTTACCCAGGCTGGCCTCCAACTAGCAGGCTTCCTGTTGCTTGAGCCCCCAGAGTAGCTGAAATTACAGGTATCCATACTCACTGGTCGTTAGCACTCATTTGTGCTTATGTCTGTGTACTTCTGTGCAGTTTTATTCAGAGGTGCATAGATTCATATACCTGGTACCACAGACAAGATACAGAAGTGTTCCATAGTGTGTCTTTGGGCCTACCAGATAGCTCAGCAGACTAAGTGCCTGCTTAGGCGAGCGCAGGGACCACGGTTCAATCTTGAGGATCTCATGCCTCGCCAGCCCTGCCCCTGGGCTTGCGGAAACTGAGACTGGGCGTGCTGGTGCGGGCCAGTATTCCCAGCGCTGGGGAGGCTGAAAACAGGAGGATCACTAGGAGTCCAAGCTTTGTGTATATATATATATATATCAGTGATCTGTGGTGGGAAAAATCCTGGGGTGGGGGTGGGACCAGGAGCTCTGAGGAGGCAGGCGTTGGTCAGGACCTGGCTTACAGGAGTTACTCTGTGGTGCACTTGAGGGTGCAGTCCCAAAGTGGGGCACTTGTGGGACAGGCAGGAGGCTACAGGTTTTGATTCCTAGCACCAGGAAAAGATGGGCACTTTTTACCTTAGGGGAGAAACAGTAGCAATGGTATGTATTCTAAGGTACTTAGAAAGGAATTATAATTGCTGTCTGCAGCTCCTTTGACCTTTATCAAAACAATAAAATGGACCAATAGGACAGCAGGATAAAGACTGGTAGAAGATGAATATTAGAAAATATTAATTATAAAATATAGTGTATGGGGACATGGTCATTATAAAAAAGTAAGGTTACTGTTTCTTGGAAAAATTTCATTGATTTTCATTAATTTGGGGAAGCTTTTAAAAAATTACTGAACTTGAAATTTAACCTGACATTATGTTTCAAGATCTTGATACATGGATAGAGGGGATGTATTTGTCACTTCTAAAAACATCTGTATCTTATTTCCTTCTAATGATTTACCTGAGTTGTCAGCTCCTTGCCCCATGCCCTTTGTAAGAGGTCGAGGTTAGAGTTTTCTAGCAGTTTCTGAGGAAATAGCATTAAGGCTATTAACTCCGTGGATTATTGTTCTACAGGACTGCCTTCTTAGCCAGCAGATTTACAGTGATTGAGTCTCAGACTGAACCCTGCTTCAGCTTGTCAGAGCTGGGGGAGGGTGCAGTGTTAGCTAGAGAGTGGGGTGGTTCTGGGACCCTTCCTTTATTCCGATCTCCCATGAGCTCTCAAATTCTGATTCTGTCAAAGTTGGTCTTTGTGAGGTGTAGCTCAGTGGTAGAGCTCAGGTTAGCGTGCACGAGACCCTGGGCTCCATCTCTAACACCCCATTCCGTTGCCCCAAAAACAAAGCAAAGAGAAATTTGTCATGTTTTTGTTATTGTTGGCTGTTGTCATTAAAAAAAAATTTTTTTTTTAAGAAAAACTTTTCTTTTTATTTGTATGGCAGAATCTCTCTATACAGCTCCGACTCTTAGTTATTCTCCTGTCTCCCCAGTGCTGGGATTACAGTCGTGCGCCACCACACCCAGGATCCCAGAGCCTGCACGGCATGCAGTACCAGGGATTGAACTCTGTCCTCCTGCTTGCCAGCCAGGCACTTAGACCGCTGAGCTATCTCCCCAGCCAGCTGTTGTCATTTTGAGACAAGATCTCACTGCTGCATACTCCCTGCTGCCCTAGAACTCCATACAGGATTAACCCAGGCTGGTCTCACATTCATCATCCTCTGGCCTCAGCCTCCTGACTGCTGGGATTGTAGGTGTGTCCCACCGTGACTGTCTGTAATGGAGTATAGTGGGTACCTCTTTGCTCAGTAAACTCATTTTTATTGTTGTTGTCTTTTTGATACCGTGTCTCACTATGCAGTTCAGGCTGGCCTTGAACTCACTTTGTAGCCCAGGCTAGTCTCAACTCACAGCAATCTTGCTTCAGCCTCCCAAGCTGGGATTATAGGTATGTGCCACCACACCTACCTGGGGATTGAACCAAGGGTTTTCACACTGAACTGTATCCTCTTTGGTTGAGAACAGGTCTTGCCATGTAATTTAGGCTGCTCTTAACCGGGGATTGAACTCAGGCCCTTGCGCTTGCAAGGCAAGCGCTTATTTTACTGAGCTATCTTCCCGGCTAGGCTGCTCTTGAATTCTCTCCAGAACCCACTGCCCTTTTTAAATTTTTCTTGTTTTAAGACAGGATCCCATGAAGTAGATAATTGTCCAGGCTGGTTCCAACCTGTGATCCTTCTGCCTCAGCTCCCTGGAAGCTGTTGTTATAGGAATATATCACCACACCCAACTGGTATTTTTGTTTGAAGCTATTTTGTGAATGGAACTGCTTTTCTTGATTTCTTTCTCAGTTGACCGTTGGTCTTCAGAAAAGCTATTGATTTATTGTTGATTTTGTATCTTATTGTTAATCTTTTTTTTCTACATATAATTTCTCCTTGAACAACTATAAACACAAATATAAATTTTAAAAACAAATATCTTTCAATAGGGAACTACTCAGACACATACAAGTACATAGAAGTGTAGAACAAATTCCTGCTACCCAGCTATAACAGTCATCTGTATTTTGATACTCTTGTTACATTTTTACCTGTCTACTCTCCTTTTTGCTAAGCAATTTTAAAAGCAAATTTCAGGGGCAGGGAGATAGCTCAGTGGAGTAAGTACCTGCTTGCTCAAGCAAGTGCGAGGACCACCTCCAGCACCGCATGCCATGCCAGCCCTGCCCACAAGGCACACTGAATGGGGGTGGGGGTGGTGACGCACGCTGGTAATCTCAGCACTGGGGAGGCTGAAAACAGGAGGGTCACTATGAGTGCAAGCTTTGTAGTGAGACTCTGTAACAACCAAATGCATAAAAAAAAAAAGAAAGAAAAAACAAACAGAAATAGTGCTATTTTACTTTAGTGTCAGCCTTTTTAAGCTTTTCAAAGTTTCAAATACAGCTAAATTGGAGAGAATTTTCCTGTACTCTGCACCCATAGTTACCGACATCCTGCTGCCGCATCTCCTGCTCCCCCACCCCTTTGTCGTGTGCTGGAGTGTTTGAAGGCGCGTGCCAGCCATCCTACCCTGTCTTTCTCCATGGAAAGACTTCAGTGAAGTAGCAGCTTTTAGTTACAAGATGCAGCTCTTTGGGTGTGTTGAGGATGGCACCCAGGGCCTCTTCTTGTGTGCATAAGTGCTCCACTACTGCTCGTCCTCCCCTAGTCCATACTGAAGGTGTTTAAAAGGGGAACGGAGATTAGTGCCAGTAACCAACCCCTGTCCCACCCTCACACTTTGAAAGAGGTGGATTTAAAAAAAAAAAAAAAAAAAAGGTGGATTTATATGCAATTTTTTTTTTTGAACCAGGGATTGAATTTAGGCCCTTGCGCTTGCCAGGGAAGTGCTTATTCCACTGAGCCATCTCCCCTGCAAGTGTTAAATGGGATCTTCAAACTTAAAAAATTTGAGCTACATTATTATTATTATTATTATTATTATTATTATTATTTTCTTCTATGGGTACTTCAAGTACCATAGATGTAGAATTCTACCATAGGGTAGAATTTCATTTTCTGTCATCTAGGTTCAAATACATGATTTATGTGAGAAGATGTCTTCTTAATTTTAGGTCCCAGTTCTTAGTGAAGGGTGACTTTGCAAACCCTCCCGAACATGGGATTTTAGCACTACCTGGAGATATTTTTGGTTAACACTTTGGGGGCGAGGTAGGATAAAGTGCTACTGATGTGTGGGGAGAGGCCAGGGAAGCTGCCAGTGTCCTGTGCGGCACTGTACACCCCCTGCGGGTAAACAGTCATTTGGCCCAGAATGCTGAGCTAGAAACCCAGGTTTAGGACCCAAGAGACAGTGTTGTATCCCAGGCCTCATTGTGGCTCTCCTCTCACTTGCTGGGACGGATCACAGGGGTGACACCAAGAGGACAGACATGCTGACATTATCAGTGTGGCACAGGAGGCAAGTCCTGACTGTCCAGAGAATTCCAGTTGAAGTGCCCTTAGATATGGCTTATCAGTTACACCGGCAGGGACTATCTCAGAAGTTTCTGTAACCAAACTTTTATAAGGTTTAGACTCTGCCTGCAAGGAAGTCCAGCTCCCATGGAGGCAAGTGGATATGAAAGCTTTTTTCTCTTCTGGGAGCGTGTCCAGAAGAAAAACAAGGCTGGGACTGTTCTAGTGGCAGTTTCCACATGTGGATAGACAAGAAGGAACAAAATTTGTAGCCAGAGAGGAAAAGAGAGAGGAGCAAAATGGCTTCTCATGGAGACCACTTACTTAGGAAGAACATCAGGATTTGCATAGCTGTTCAGCCCTAAAGAAAGTGAACACCTTCTGCTTGTGAGCAGTAGGCCTCAGGGCACCCACAACAATTGTTCCAGGGCGTCCTAGGGGCCTGGGACCCTAGATCTGAGTTGGAGCTGGGAAGGCCAGCCACGTTGCAATGGGGATTCAGGAGCCCTGGCACCGGAGGTAATTTTATACCTTGTTTTTTTCTAGATTGCTCATTTAGAAAGTGGATGTGCTGGATAACATGTCCAGCGTGTCTGAGGAGAGAAGGAAAAGACAGCAGAACATTAAGGAAGGACTACAGTTCATACAGTAAGCACCTGAGAATTCCTGTCCGGGTTTCTGTCACGTGGTGGGTCTTCTCTTACAGGGCCGAACCTTGTGCAGAGGTTGAGCGCTCTTTAGGCCTGTTTAATGAGCCCTGTTCAGTTGGGTTGGAAATGACACATGCTTCACTTTTCTTCCCCTCTCGCCATTTTGAGTTGCCTTGTGTTGTGAAGTGGATCCTTCTATTGCCACTTTCTTAGGCTAAAATCCTTTAGTATCTCCAAAAATGTTAGACTGAAGAACTTGAATGAAAGGTAATTGAAGCATCTGTCTGCACAGAGGGGTTTTTGCCTTCAGACCATCCTGTCAGGAAGGGGTCAGTGACAGACCACCCTGGGCTGAGAGGACTTCAAGACAGAGTGACTTCTTTGTTCCTTCCTGGGAAGGAGACATTGTCTTCTCACAGCAGTAAATTAGATCAGATAGTGTTAGTGGTTCTGCACTATTTTTAACTTTGTTGGCATTTGAAGAATTAGGCTTTCTTTTAATAGAATTAAATTTGAAAGGAAAGTGTTGTACTTAAGAAAATACTAGAAATAGTTTAGATATTTCTCTTCATGACTACAGTCACATGCCAGTAAGAGAGAAGTATTCCTTTAAAATATTTTTTGAACCCACAGCAAGGTCATGAAATCACACTTTTAAGATGACTTCTCACTGAGCAAATGTCAACAGGAACCTGGTAGTTACAATTGATCTGTTTTTCTTCATTTTAGGTCATCACTGTCATATCTGGGAACCCAGGAACAGTATGCGGTAATGACCCCGGGAAAGTGGTGAAAAATCAGTGCTTGTGAACTGTGCTCTACAGTAGGGGTTGGCAGGTCCTGGCCCTGCCGGCCAGACCTGACTGATCTCCTTTCACATGTCATTTTATTGGCGAATAGCCACCTCACCTGTATTGACACTCCTGCAGCCTATGGTAGCAGAGACAGAGACCATAGGTCTGCAAAGACTGAAATATTCACTCTCTGGGCATTTTTCGGAAAAATTTGCTAACCCCTTACTTTGTAGGATAGCCTGGTTTTGGGGGCAGGGCATAGTTGTGCCATTGTCTTGCATTTTCTTCTCCTTAAGTGTTACTGGGGATCAAATCCAGGGGTACACTACCAGTGATCTACATCCCCAGACCTTTTTGTTTTTGAGACAAGGTCTTGCTAAATTGCCTAGACTGGCCTCAAACTTAAGTCTTCTGCCTCAGCCTTCCAAGAAGCTGGGCTTATAAGTACATGCCACCATTCCTGGCTTGTCATATATTTTCTTTCTTCTGAACTGAACAGAAGAGGAAGGAAGACACAAGATGAAGGGAAGTTAACAGCTGGGAGCACCAGGAGCCTCACCGATCACAAGCCATAGTGAGCAGCAGCCAGCGTCTGGCCTGTGCCCACGTGCTGCTTCTCCTGGGCCCTGGCTAGCAGGTTCACCACCACCTCTTCCTGCTTCCAGCCATCCCTTTTACTGTCAGGAGTTTTCTTCAAAATAAAACAAGATACTCCACAATCTCCTTCTTAACTTCCATCCCATTTATGTGCAATAAAATGAAGGGTAATTTTTTAGAAGTTCAAAAGAAAACATAATCTAAAATATATTAACAGGAGGAGCTGGGGAGATAGATCAGTAGAATAAGTGCTTCCCTGGCAAGGGCAAGGGCAAGGGCCTGAGTTCAATCCCCGGTTCTGCCAAAAAAAAAAAAAAAAAAATGTAGTCTAGACTGGTCAGTTCTTTCTTCCTCTCATGGATAATGGTTGTAAAGTATTCAGGCAAGAATCCTTTCATCTTCCACATGTGGAACTGAGATCCACAGAGCTTAGGTGTCAAGTCACACATCACCAGTTAGTGATGGTTGACCTGTCCCGTTTTTTAAAAAATAAGACACTCAGCTTATACATGAATGTAGAAATGAGACCAAAAAATTTGAGTATCTGGTCTTGTGGTGGCAAAGAGGCATTTAAAATATTAAAGCAATGATAGAAATCATGAAAGAAAATTTAAAACTGTTGTACACACCAAAAGAATGTATGAAGTTATATGATAAGAAAATGAAGGGTGCCAGTAAGATAGCTCAGTAGAATAAGTGCTTCCCTGCAAGCACAAGGTCCTGAGTTCAATCCCCGGTACTACCAAAAAAAAAGAAAGAAAGAAAGAAAAAGCAAAATGATTTAGCATCCCCTTTCCCTAAATAAGTAACAACTCAAGCAAATAGTTTATAAAAGAACAAATATAAATGGTCCATAAAAATATAGAGGGGCCAGGGAGATGGCTCAGTAGAATAAGCACTTGAGGGCCTGAATTCAATCCCTGGTTCTGCCAAAAAAAAAAAAAAAAAAAAAACCCAAAAAACAAAAAGAAAAAAACATGTGTTGCATAAAAATGTGGAAAAGTTCACCCTCACTTGTAAAGATATGAAAATAAGAAAGAATACTGTTTTTCACCTATAAGTTGGTAAGGAATTGACATACATATGCACACAAGGGTGTGTTTACATACACACACAGAGGCCTGGTCACACATTCACATGCCCACGTACTACCTGGTGTGTGAAGTTCATGAAGGAAACCACTAGAAATACTATTACCGCCTTCGAGGAAATACTAGTACTAGTCAAATGGTATTTATTATCCTAGGTACCGAAATGGAGATGTGCGCACATACTTACAGGGTGATTTTGTTGTGTTTTTGTTCAGAAGCAGAGTGATTTTCTCCTGTGAAAATGATATGTCCTTAGCACAATTAGCAGTGCTGCTGTTCTGTCAAATGGTTTTCTCTGAAGTTTTGGGTATAATCCTTGAAGTTCATTCATGTCTTATCTTGTCCTTCAAGAGGTAACTTTCTCTTTTAGGTATATTTGGAGGCTCTTGTGAGAAATCTTTTTAATGAAGGAAATGATTTTTATCGGGAACATGATTGGAATAGCTCAGTAAGCCAGTACACGGAAGCTTTAAGGATAGCGGATTATGCCGAGTCTGATAAAATTTCAATTCCTAAAGAAATCATTGAAAAACTACATGTAAATCGCATGGCCTGCTATTCTAATATGGTGAGTTGTGATTTTTAAAGGTTTTTCTAGAGAAAATTTTCTTCATTGATGTAGTACAGTGATAAAAAGTCATATTCCTAATTTCAGTTTTTCAGAACAGCATATTAACTGCTTTTAGTGTGGCCTGAGCCTTTCAAAAAAAATCAGTTAGATAAACCTTTAGGAAGTTAAAATGTAGTTATCTCTTAGTCATTGGTCCTTGAGGATTCCCGCTTGAGAAAGGCCTTTCAGGAGTGTGCCCAGGTAGGTACAGGTGGTTACAGGTCAGTCACATGTCAGGCGTTTGTGGTGAACTGCCTTTCTTAGGATTCAGTAGTCCTATTAGGAACTTTTAAAAAAATGTACAAAACAGTAATAAGCATGAGCCTTTCATTTTGAAGTTTAAAAACCAGTGTTTGGGTGTGCTTATCATTTTTACCATGGACAGTCAATAAAATTTGACCATCAATTTAGGAAAGCAGTTGTCTAGTTTTTACTTAATGTGCATTCATTGATGACTTTGTTGTTTTCAATAATATATTCCTTGTCACTTAGCTACTTGGGAGCACATTCCACTTTCATTTTTTTTTTGTAACTCATCCACCAATATTGTACGAATTGATGGGGTACATGTCTCTCTCTCTCCTGTCTCCCTGTCTCTCTCTCTCTACATATACATATATATGTATATGTATATGTATATGTATATGTATATAAATATAATTATACACATATATGTATGTGTATATATATATGTGGGTAATTATATTTATTTCCTCAAACATTATTTCTTTGTGGTTAAAAACCTTCAAAATCCCTCCTCTAGCTTTCTTTAAATTATATAGTGTATCCTTATTACCTATAGCCACACATATGACGTTTTAATTTATTGTAAGAAAGGTAACTACAAGGGCCGGGGAGATGGCTCAATGGAATAAGCGCTTGCCTGGCAAGCGCAGGGGTCTGAGTTCAATCCCCAGTAACAGAGTGACACTGAGGGCATTGGCCATGTCCAGAGAGCTTTATTGCCCAGAGATCCAGTACCCTCACGGCCAGATGTTAACATTTTTCCTGATCAGGGTGGTAATATACATAGATACTTAGGATATTTTTTCTATTTTGATATACTTGAAATTTCATAACAAAAGTAATCCAAAGGAAAAAAAAAAAGCAACACTGCCAATTTTAAGTAGAGTTGTTTCCACTTAGAAGTAGGCAGTGAAAGAAATGAACCATGTGATTGCTGACATTTCTTTGTTGTCATGTTCTAGGGTTTTCATGATAAAGTTTTAGAAGACTGCAATGTCGTCCTCAGTTTAAATGACAATAACTGTAAAGCTCTCTATCGGAAGGCTAAGGCTCTGAGTGATTTAGGAAGCTACGGAGAAGCTTACCTTACGGTGGCAAAGTGCTCCTTAGCGATGCCGCAGGTATGGAATTTCTGTTTTAGTTCGTTCATTTATCTGGTAGGCATTTTATTGCTACATGTGGAGAAATGGCCTGGAGTTACGTAGTCCCAGCAGTCAGGGTAGCTAATAAAACAAGTATCTCAGGAAATGTCATAGCTACTTTGCCTGTTTCGCCTAGTTAGAAAGAATAACCCTCCATTAATCAAGTATGTTTACTTTTTCAGGATGAACACGTAATAAAATTAACTCAAGCATTAGCTCAGCAGTTGGGACTTAGGATAAGGAAAGCATACGTTAGAGCCGAGGTAAGCCACAGTGCTCTTGGTAGGTGTTTTGATCTTGTTTTAGAACCTGGACTCGGTTCTGTTTTTAAATTTGTGTCTTTATTTTATTTCAGCATCCTCTGGAATCAGTTCCTGGGGATGGGACTACCAAGGTAAAATTATTATTTATGTAAGATTTCTACTTAAAAAGCCTTAGCAGTTCTGCTTTTCATGTTTTTAGTGTGTGCCTCTTTTATTCTTCAAAGACATAATTGACCTTAGTCTTCTGTCACTTTAAAAAAGAAAACAGAAAAAAAAAAAAAAAAAAAAAAAAAGGAAAAAAAAAAAAGAAAACAGGTAATCCAAGTAATATATTTTAGTATTAACCAGTGTTTCCTGAAGTCAAATGGAGCATTTTACAGGTTATGAATAAATTCTCTGTTGCCTTTAAAAAACATGGTACAAGGCCAAGTACAAGTTTTAGGAGGCATTAGGACAAAAAAACGTAACAAGTGTATTTCTTTTTTAATTGCAAGCTAGGTCTTTTTGAGCATAGTTAGGATGCTCCTGAGCATTGTGAATGGGGGTTAGGAAGTGGTCACTAGATCAGTCCCTGGTATTTTTATCCTTTAAGCAACTTCGGTCCACCAGAAATACGTAGTGGTAACTGGGTATGGTGGTACATGCTATAATCCCAGTGACTCAGGAGGCTGAGACAGAAGGATCACTTAGGATTACTAGGTAACAGGACCGGGGAGATGGCTCAGTAGAATGAATGCTTGCCTGGCAAGCTCAAGGGCCTGAGTTCAATCCCCAGTTTCACCAAAAAATAAAATAAATAAAGATCACTAATGGGCAAACTGGTAATGTCCTTGATGAAAAAAAAGAAAAAAAGTGGTAGTGCTGCTGGTCAAGCAAATGCTGTAAAGGTTTGAGTATTCCTTGTATTGTTCGAATCTTAGCTGGAAGAGAGTCAGATCACTATGCAAACCTGCACTGGGCTTTAGGTTTGGGTTTTATAGATTGTTTTATAGCTTACAAACGTAAAAACACAATTCATTGTTGGCTTAATTTTTAGGCTGCAGACTATTCTGTGGAAGATATTGAGCCAGGTATGTTTTCACCTACAGTCTTGACATGAAGCATTCTGGTTTTCAACTTTATATATCAGATGGTGTTATCAAATAAGATGTGCTTTTCACAGCAGCAGTATGATTGCTTTCATATTTTCACCTAGCTTTTCATGTTCTCTGTTGGTTGTTAGTTAACATGAGTATTGTATAAATACAGTGACAGAGAGTGAGAACATTTCTATGTGTTACAGATTTATTCGCTCCAAGGCAAGAAGCACTTCCAGTTATTTCTTTACCTGTATCCAGTTTTTCTCATGAAGTTGGAAGTGAGCTGGCCTCAGTTCCTCCTGTGCCCTTACCTTCTATTTTGCCACTGCAAGTGGAAGAGAGTGCTCTGCCATCCACAGTATTGGCCAATGGAGGGACCATCCCCTTCACGATGCCAGAAGCTTTTCTGGATGATGGAGATATGGTTCTTGGAGAAGAAATCGATGACCTCCTTGATTCTGCACCTGAAACTAATGACAATATTATGGTGAGTTTCAGAGTTTTGCCTTTCTTCTGAAGGCAGGTTTTTTTGCTTTTTTTTTTTTTTTTTTTTAATTGAAATATAACCTCTTAGATACTTTGAGTATTTATATACTGAACTTTGGGTTTCTTACCTTGAAGATTATTTTTGTCCTTCTTTGGTAGAAACTGGGTATATTGTTTCTTTTCTTGTGATAAGGACCTGTCTCATGATGATGTAGCCTAGGCTGGTCTTGAACTCATGATCCTTGTGTTTTAGCTCCCTGGTTTAACCACCACACCTGGTTAATTTGGTTATTTTTAAAATTAGAATATGCTAATTACCCAATGTTTTGTTTTATGTTTTTTAGCCAGCTTTTCTAAAATGTAGGATAAACGTAACATTCTGATAAGGAGTAGGTATTTGACATTTAAGGAAAAATTAGTGTTACTTGAACTTATTGCTTAAGAATATTAACTATAGCCCATAAAGCAGAGGTCCACACAAGTGGCCCCCTGCCATTTCTGCCCACTGCTGGGTTTTGTATGACCCATGGGCTAAGACTTTTTTATATATGTTTGTTTGTTTATTTATTTTGCGGTACTGGGGATTGAACTCAAGTCCTTGCACTTGCCAGGCAAGCACTTATTCTCCTGAGCTATCTCCCTATTGCTTTTATATATTTTTAAATGGTTGGAATAGCAAAAAGACTGTTTTGTGATACATGGAATTATATGAGACTCAAATATGGGTCAGTAAAGTGTTATTGGAACCCAGTCACAATCATTCTTATGTTGCCTATGGCTGCACTGCAGGAACAGTGTTGGGTACTTGCATAAGCACATGGCCTACAGAGCCAAATTATTATTTATCTGGCCCTTTCTAGAAAAAGTTTCTTAACCTTGCCATAGAGTGTGTTAAGATAGCAGCAGCAGCAGCAGCATTTCGATGAGATGAGAGGAAAGAAAAGATGCAGATGTTATTTCCAGGGTCTGAGAGATAGGTGACATCCATGTGGAGTTCACTGAGGGCAAAAGTGTAAAAGGCCCGCAATCTGGGTTTGATTCTTAAACAACCCTGTGCTCTTGGGGGTGTGGTGATTGGTACATTATGTCAACCTGAGATATCAAAGGCTTGGCTAGACCTGGAAGCTTGGCTAGATCTGCTTGGCGATTTTATGCCCTGGAGTGGGGGTGGGTGTGCCCTAGAGTGACTCAGAACAAAAAAGATACATAAAGGGGTTAAAAAAGGCTTCTGTGCACCCTACTTCCTTGGAGAAGTTTGGAGTTTTCCAGCCCACTTTTTGGAGGAGCTTGACTGATGGAGCTGTGCCACTTTGGAGGCGCTCAGATCTTCACAGCAGTCGCCGCCGCCACTTGGAGGAGCTCGGTCTTCACAGTCGACATAAAAAGAGAGAGAGGCTTGATAGACCCCACAGCTGCTGCTGCTCCTCTGCTCTTCGTTGTTTTCTGCCATCATAAACTGTTATCATGTGCCTTAACACCAACAAAATATAAACTAAAACCTGTACTAACTGTGGGGGACTTTACCTATTGGCACCCCAGTGTCCTCTGTACCCTGGCAGCCACAGTGAGGCAGATCTGAGAGGTACGCCGTATAGGTCTAGTAGGTGGTTCATGATGCTTACTTAGCATATGTGAGGCTCACAAGTCACAGAGTGAATCAGGAGGGCAAGTTAGGGCTCTGTTCTGGGAGTAGTAAGTTCATATTCCATAAATATGGTCCCTATCCACTGGGTTTCCCAGGGAAGCACCCTCTCTAGATTACGCCTGCTCCTTCCCGCTCTGCTTCACAATTCCTTGTCTTGTGCAGCAAATTATTGTGTGCCTCATCTCTGGGTGAGGACAAGGATTGTAAACAAGTTTTGCAGATAAAACATGGATACAACATTTCTATTATTAATATGACATTAGACATTGTACCCCAATTCTCTTTAGCAATTTAGGCTTGGGAAAATACAGAGGTACCTCAGTTCATGAACTTAATTTGTTCCACAGTTCTAGAAAAGGTTGCCATGTTCATGTTCATGTAGGAAAAACAGCTCTGGTTGTGTTCTGTACCAGACTTTTTTTTTTTAATTCTTATTGAGAAATAAATATGAATGAGACAGTTTCACAGCTGATTAATAGGACAGTTTTGATAACCAATACACTGTACATTGTTATCTTCTTAGTGGTTGTCATAGTACAAGAAACAGACGGGATACCAAACACTGTTAGTACACCTCTTTCTTCTCATCTGTACCAGACTTTTGGCAAATACTTCTGTTTTCTAACCAAATTTCATTTATAAACGGATTATTTCCATAGCTAAAATTCTAATGAATTTTATGTTTTACTGTATTTGTGTGTGTGTGTGTGTGTGTGTGTGTGTGTGTGTGTGTGTGATTTTAGGGATTGAACTCAGGTTCTTCACACTGAGCTACATCTTCAACCTACTTTTTAAGATAGGGTCTTACTAAGTTGCTATATTTATTCCTCAAGCTAGGCTCAAACTTACAGTTCCTTCTCAGCCTTCCAGAGTGCTTGGATTAAAACTTTTTCTAATTAATCTTGAGTTTTTGCCTGATTGATTGATTGACTGACTGACTGACTGACTGCAGTAAGAGGAATTGAACTGAGATCTCACATATGGTAGGCAAGTGCTGTACCACTAAGCTATACCCACAGACCTGTGAATCTTAATTTTAGTTTAAGCATTATTATATGGTCACACAATGTAGTAATTTATTTTCCTATGCCAGTGTCGAGAGCAGTTCAGCTGTACTTGTGACAAGATTTCATGAACGTTGACGCAGGCTTATTTCCGCTCTAGCCGTCAGCTCTGGTCCGCGTGCCGCTTCCCGCACCCAGCGTTGCTCCTAGCGTGCCCTTCCCGGCCTCTCTGCTCGGAACCTTGCCCATTGGCGCGAGGTATGCCCCTCCAGCCTCCTTGGCAGAGCTGTATCCACCTTTGACCTCATCGTTAGAAGATTTTTGTTCTTCTCTAAATTCATTTTCAATGAGTGAACCCAAACGAGGTAAGAATCTAGCCCAAATTGTGAAATTTAGGGTTAATTTTCTAAAATTAAAACTTATGTCTGGCAGTCATTTAATGAACTCTGGATCTAGGTACTTGAATTATTTTCATAGTAGCTAAAAATGTAAAGACTGAACCTTCGGTTTTGAATTCCCCTTGAGTGAACTACCCTTTTGATAGCAAGGAGCAAAGGCACAAGTGTAGACATGTACGTGGCACTAGTTTTCACATAGGTTGGTTTGTTAAGCGGGTTATTCATTGTTCTGGGGTGAAATGACTTTGACCATATTCTGTAATAAAGGTCTATACCATCTGAATGGGTCTCACACACATGCTGGTCTTTTAAAATTCTAAACTGGGAAAACATTCATTTAAATCTGTGTGTAGCATAGTAACAAGTAGATCTACTTAAGGTATTGTGTGGAGCTCTGTACACTAGGCCGAATGTCTTTATTTTGTAAGTGGGTGTTGAGGTTTTGGTTGATTCCTGTTTTTATAATCCAAGGTTTATTATAAATAGTAATCATAAAAATCTTCATATTTTTTTGAGACACTGTTAATATGATTTAAAGATTTACAGCTCAAGAAACTAAACTATGTGTGAGCCAGAAAGACAGAGAGGAAATAATTCACAGTAAACTTAGAAGCTGAGTTCCTGCTTCATGTCCTCGAGAGAGGCTTTTTACCCATGTTGAGGGCCCTGTCTGTGAAAATAGGTTTTTGCTTAAATTTGTTTGAGTAAGGGTTACTTAAGCCCTTGGTTTCTAGAAGGAAGACAAAACTCCTTGAGTACAATGAGCAAGAAAGCTCCTAGGAGTTGGGACGGGAATAGAAGGTGGGGAAGCCATAGCCAGTCAGTTCCTGAGCCCTGATGTTCTTATTACATGATTAGAGTGAAAAGGTCTGTTGAAGTTTTTTTATTATTTTAGATCTGTCCACCTCAACTTCTAGAGAGGGAACAACGCTTAACAACAGTAATTCTTCCCTTTCACTTGTAAGTGCCACTTCCTCTTTTGTAAATGCATTGCTTAAATTGAACATAGGCCTTGTACTTCAGTGACTGAATTATTTGAATGAACATGACAGTCTCCCTTAAATTTTATATGTGCTGTGGGAAATAATATTGTGTGACTCTTCTGGAACATCCAGTAATAAATGCTCTGCATTTAAGACTGGATCTGTCGTAGCAAATTAATCACTGTTACAAATAGTGTAAGAGGCTTTAGCACAGCATAAACAAATCAAGGAAATATAAAACCAGGGCATGTAAGATGTGTGTACCACTGTAGCAGACAGTTTCATGTTATTTTTTACAACTTATAGAGGATCAAAATAAGGGGGCCTAGAAAGGAAAATACAAGAAAGAGTTTTGAATATAGGAGAGGAAAAAGGATAGAACACTACTGACTTCATCTTGCTCTTCAGATGAACTCAGTGTCCTTGTTAGTGATAGTATAATATTTGTTGCCTATTTTTCTTTTGTTTGTTTGTTTTTGTTTTTGTTTGTTTTTTTTTTCTTGTTATTTTTCTTGCAGATGAACAGACCAAGTAGTTTGTTTGCTTGTGATAGTTTCCTGGGAATTTCAAATCAGCCTAGAAATGACTTTGACTTTGGCAGATTTTTTGGAAGTGCAATTACTAAACCACCATCCTCAGTGACTCCAAGACATCCCCTTGAAGGGACCCATGAATTAAGACCAGCTTGCCAGATCTGTTTTGTGAAATCAGGTGAGGACAAGTCAGGCAGAGTATCCAACTAGTATGATGCTAAAAGTTGTTAGGATATAAACATTTGAATTCTAAAGAAGCAGAGTTTACTGACTTGAGGCATGTGGAGTCTGGTAAGTACTTTTTTTTTGTACCTGAGATCAAACTCAGGACCTTGTGCTTGCCAGGCAGGAGCTTATGCTTCTGAGCTACATCCCCGGCCCTCACTGTTCTTATTTGCTATACTTGTATTTCTACAATGTTGTGGAATCAGATATTTATTTACCTGATCTTGGAAACTTACTGCAGTTATTATTTGTTTAAGAACTTGGGGTCAGGTATATAGTTCAGTGGCATAAGCACCTGCCTGGCAAGCACAAGGTACAGAGTTCAATCCCTGGTACCGCAAAAACAAAAAATAAATAAAAATAAAAGTAATTTTCAAATTTTCAAAACAAGCATTATCAGACTGAAATGTAATTCAGTGTTTATGAAAATTAAAGTATTTTCTCATGATTTGCTCTGAATCAAGACATAGAAACTCTTTATTCTGACCTAGACCCAACTTTATTTTCTTTCTTTCTTTTTTTTTTTTTTTTTTCAAACTTTATTTTCTTTCTTAGTTGTCCTTATTTGGGATTCTAGAACCAGACCACAGTCTGGTTCACAATGCTGCCTGTCCTTTACTTTTATAAGTCATCTGAATTCTTAGCCAGATTATTTCCCTAATAGTTAAGTAGGGATATGTTTTGGACGGATATTGAATAAAACTTCGTGTTGCCTAATAAACAAATAGCATAAAATTTTTAAATTTACCTATTTACAGTATGATGAAATTTTGGGGTTATGGCAATCAGTGTTCATTTGAGTTACCTATAAACTGAAATAATATTAGCAAACCTCTTCACTTCTTTTTCAGGCCCTAAATTAATGGATTTCACATACCATGCTAATATAGATCATAAATGTAAGAAGGATATTTTAATTGGTAGGATAAAGAATGTTGAAGATAAATCATGGAAAAAAATACGTCCAAGACCAACAAAAACAAATTATGAAGGACCTTATTATATATGTAAAGGTATAATAATTACGTAATTAGTACATATTACATAAGCAATAAATTTGCTACCTTTATTATGGAGGCTTCCGTATTAACTGTTAGTAAAAATAGCAAGTTCCTTAGGTTGAGGCATTAGTATTTTTATGTTGTTTTTAAACTTTATTTATTGGCATTTTTGTTTCGTTCTGGGCTGAGCACAGAGCCATCAAACACTGAAATACACCCCAACCCATTCCATTTTATGACAAGGTCACATTAAAGACTTGCTGGGTTGCTCCAATTGGGCTTGACTTTGTGATCTTTGTACCTCCAGAGTCCTGGGATTACAGGCTTGTACCACCATGCCTGGTTGTCTTAACAATTTGTGTGTGTTTTATAGCTATGTACAGAAAGAGGGCTTTGCCCAAGTTTTAAACAGAAAACTTTCAAAGTTTAAATTTTGCCTATACAGTATTAAAATACTGAACTGATGCTTTGAGTTTTGTTTTGTTTTGTTTTTTTTTGGTGCTGGGGATTGAACTCGGGACCTTGCATTTGCCAGGTGCTTATGCCCCAGAGCTGTCTCCCTGGTCCCTGAACTGATGCTTTGAATATGCTGCTCTGTTTAGCATACATTTGCTAGCTTTCATTGTTGTCACAGTGCTTCATCTGAGTGAGCTTTAATAGCCCTAAACTGAGTTTTTAACCTTAGATGGACTATGTGAGAATACTGAGGCATTTATCCTTATCTATAATAAATCTGTTGAGGCTTAGACTCAATCTCATCCCTGAATAGTAAAAATCATAATTTTTTTTTTTTTTTAATTTTAGGGAAGGGTCTACAGGGTGTTCAGGGTCTCACTACTAGACTGGACTCGTGGTGATCCGCCTGTTTACAGCCTCCCGAGAGCTGGGATTACAGGCCTGCACCACCACGCCCAGTCTCAGTAGCTGTCTCAACACTCCCCGGGGGCAGGGCCAGCATGGCAGGCCTGATGGATCAAACCCCCAGCTGCTTGCAGGCACTTTAATCCGCTGCGCTATTTGCCTGGCCCTGTAAAATCATAAAGCTATTTATGAAATAAAAATTAAAACATTTAAGTGTGATTAATATTCATTGGCTTTGAAAAAAACAGTTACTGTGGTTAACTTTCTCTTCATGCCCTGTTCTTCTAGATGTTGCTGCAGAGGAAGAATGTAAATATTCAGGCCACTGCACATTTGCTTATTGCCAAGAAGAGATAGATGTCTGGACACTAGAAAGGAAAGGAGCATTCAGTCGGGAAGCTTTCTTTGGAGGCAATGGGAAGGTCAACCTTACTGTGTTGAAACTCCTCCAAGAGCATGTTGGGGAATTTATATTCCTTTGTGAGGTGCTTGTCTGAAATTTACTTTCCGCTTTATATTTACTGCTAGTACTGGGGTATGGCTAAGGGTAGAGTATTTGTCTATCTTGAGCAAGACCTAGGGTTTGATCCACAGCACTACCAAAAAAATGGTGATAGTTCTGACTGGTAAGCCCAGTAGTATTTTTTAAAGAACTCTGAAGATCCTGATGTGTGATAAAGACTTTGTTCAGTGAATGGTAGCTATTATAATTATTAGAATAGTAAATAGTAAGCCTTGGTTGAATATTTATTGGTACAAATATAAAATGCATTAAGTTTGTAAAGATCAAAATTTAGGCCATATCCTGTATTCAAAATTCAGAGTTTGTATTTGTTTGACTAATAATCATTCTTTTCTCTCTTCCAGAGATGTTTTGATCATAAACCTAGAATGATTAGTAAAAAAAATAAAGATTCTACTGCTTGTTCTCACCCAGTTACAAAGCATGAGTTTGAAGACAATAAGTACGTTGGTGGCTTCTGATTTTTCTAGTGACAAAATAGATTCTTTTCTTTGATCTAAATAAAACCAGTCATGGTATCACCTCAGACTTTATTCCCAACTCTTCTGTTCTCTCTCTCTCTCTCTCTCTCTCTCTCTCTCTCTCTCTCTCTCTCTCTCTCTCTTTTTCCAGACAGTATCTCACTGTGTAGTTTAGTCTGGCTTTGAACTCATTATGTATAGCCCAGACTTCCTTTGAACTTGCAGCAGTTCTCCTGCCTCAGCCTCTCTAGAGTTGGGATTATAGGCATGCACCTCCCTGCCCTGCTTCTTTGTTTTCAAGAATAATAACTTTTAAAATGGTTTTTAGTAGATTTGGCTGGGAATTGAGTAATATATTAATAAACTAGTCATTTAATACATAAAAACATTATTAATTTTTAACTTCCCATGACATAGACTTAAATATTTTGTGGTTTTTTGATTTAAAATTAATTATCCTTCCTATTGGTCCAGTAATTGCATGCACTGATTCAGTTTTACTGCTAAAGATTTTTTTTCTGGCAAAGATTTAAAATGGATTCTGTCTTGAACTTGACTTTATGTGTGTATGTGTTTGTGTGAGTGTATGTATGTGAACATATTTTTTTAAAACAAGGCAGAACAGTATTAAAATGTCACTCTTGGGGCTGGAGAGATGGCTCAGTGGTCTAAAGCACCTACTTGAAACAAGCTTGGCAAAGCACAGGGACTGCGGTTCGATCCCCCAGCACCACATGCCAGCCAGCCCCCCCCCCTGGTGGACTGAGCTGGCCACACACACACACACACACAATAAATAAAATGTAATAAATAAAAATAAATAAATAATTAAAAAAAAAAAAAGAACTTCCTTAAAAAAAAAAAATGTCACTCTTGTTTCATCTTAGGTGCCTTGTCCACATTTTGCGAGAGACATCAGTAAAATATTCAAAAATACGTCCTTTTCATGGTCAGTGTCAGCTAGATTTGTGTCGACATGAAGTTCGTTATGGCTGCTCAAGGGAAGATGAGTGCTTTTATGCCCATAGTCTTGTGGAACTGAAAGTTTGGACAATGCAAAGTGATACAGGTAGGTCCATGTGTACCTGAGAGCTGTGTCTCTGCCAGAGTAGCCAGGGTGATGGGCTCCTAATTTGGAGACCTGCCCTCTCATCAGCCATATGTGGCAACTCATGGCTTTTATCCTGAACTTTCAACTCTGTGGTCACCTTCTGCCTTCTGAGTTGCCTGTACTATGTGTGGTCTCATGTAATTAACTGTTGATACAGGTTCAGGTAGCTTGGTTTGGGGCAGGGGAGGGGTCATGGCTCAGAAGGCACAAAGAGATATATTTGCAATTCCATTTTGAAAAAATGTTATGTGGGCCCAGGGAGATAGCTCAGTAGAATAAGCACTTGCCTGGCAAGCTTATTAGAGTCCTGAGTTCAATCCCCGGTACTGCAAAAAAAAAAGTGTAACGTGCTGGCCATGGTTGGCACCTGCCCGCAATTCTAGCACTCTAGAGGCTAAGGCAATAGGATTAATGTGAATAGGAGGCCATCCTGGGCTTCATAGTGAGTTCAAGGGGAGCCTGAATGACATAGGAATACCCTGTTTCCCTTTCTTTTTGTACTGGGAATTGAACTCAGGGCCTTATGCCTGCCAGGCAGGCGCTGCAGACTCTGTCTCAAAACACCAAAAACAGTCATAATGTGATAGTCTTCCCTGGTGATGGATCAGGCTACCTGAGAGCAACTGGGGGTCCAGAGGGTTCTCCAAATCTGACTGCAGCCAGATTGGTGGGCTAGTGTTAGGTTTAGAATTCAAAAGAAGGCTTTTATATTTCCTAGGTATTTTACATGATGCTATTGCTCAAGAATCTAAACAGTACTGGCAAAATTTGGAGGCAAATGTACCAGGAACTCAGGTATTTCCTCTTGTGTACTTTCTGCATTGGGTGTCTTTCTGGAATTGCCTAATGGATGATGGTTAATGGCAGCTGCTGTTCATACTTACAGTTCAGTTACTTAATGTTTGTTCAGTTGAGTGATTCTTATGTGCATTTTATCATAAAGAAATTGGGCAACCCTTCATATCTGTAAACAATATAGGATTCTGTTTTCTCATTTAACTTAATTGGGAAAACAGTTGGTGTTTTGGGCTTTGAAGATTCCTGGTGTAAGAAAGACAGATTATGTTTGCTGTTTTGCTTCCCACCTGGCATAATTCGTTTGCACATTTTTCTTCCCCCACATCCTCTCAAAAAAACAAACAGTTCCAATTATCTCTTCCAAAGCTGACTTTTGTAAACTGAAATTTGGTATCTATAATCTGCTTTTATCATGTGCCTCCTATACATGAGGGGGGGTGAATTGGAGATCTAATCATCAGAGCAGAATGTAATGGTCAAGTCATTGATCCAGACAAAAACAGGAAATTGTATACTATTGTGAAGATAAAAGACATGATTTAATATTTTGTTTCCAGAAAACTTTTCTTGTTATAATTGATCTTTTAATTATTTAAGGTGCTTGGCAATCTAGTAATGCCTGGAACTCTTAATATGAAGATAAAATTTGTGTGCGCTCAGTGTCTGAGAAATGGTCAAGTCATTGAACCAGACCAAAACAGAAAGTATTGTAGTGCAAAAAAAGAAAAGCATTTGTAAGTATTTTGTATGTGTAGAAATAATGCCTACTTTATAATTATGTATCTCATAGGTATAAAATCATGTAAGAAAAGATTAGTCTTTGAAGAGAGAACAGTAGATAACCCAGGTATAACTACAAAACAAAAGGGAAGAGATTTTTTAGGATTTAGTAGTTAAGAATGCAGAAGTAGTGCTTTTCCTCTATTAATTTGTTTAGGATTCATAGGGGATGTCTGTAAATGTCAATAGGAAGTGAAATTATAGAATCATAAGGCATTTCTTTTAGAAATGTTGAGGGAAAAACTCTCTGGTCCTACAGGTACAGACTTTGTACCTTTCCCTTTATATTTTGCCTTTTGCCAGTGTCTCTTTGTTTTTTCTGAACTCCATTTTTCTTAGGTGGACCAAAGATCGTCGTGCGATGAGAGTGATGTCTCTTGAACGTATGAAGTGGATGAACATCCGTCCTCTCCCCACAAAGAAACAAATGCCTTTACAGTTTGATGTACATACGTAATTTTTAAGCCAATTTTTTTAAAAATTAGGCATTTCAAATCATTAGAAAGTAGTAGTAATTCACATTGAAACTCAAGCCCTTTAAATAATGCTCACCAGTAATAAGAAATTTTAATGGTTCCTCTTAAGTTTTCCTTCCCTTTAGTATGTATGATTCTGTAACCGTTTTCATATTTATTAGAATTTTATGAGTTACTTGGCAAAAGTAATCAGATAATGAAACTGAGGAAAAGTATGGGCATAATTTATTTTTTTCAAGTGAATTACCTTGGGAGGGAATGAGAATGTCATTTAATTTTGATTCCTCAGGTTTGATATCAAACCCAAGGCTTTCTATACTATGAATGTTGTTGGTGAGTTTGCCCTTAATGTATCTTGTTTGCAAGGGACATGAATGAGCCACAAGATTCTCAACATTGTAGGACTTCCTAAAAGTAACTCAGAAGACAGTGCTCGTTGCCAGAAGAACATGTTCCCCGAAACCACTTCTTGTGGTGGCATGTTTAATCTTGAATAGTGCCTTATGTCGCCTTGGAGATGCTTGTCCAAGCAGGCTGTTTGCATTGTCTGTGGCTTTCCTCTTCCCGTAAGAGAGGGTTTGGAGAAAGCTTAGAAGTATTTTTTGGTGTGATCTAAGAGACAAGTAGATCATCGGTAGGAAGTACACTTGCTGCCCACATGGAAGGATTATGCAGAGGATCTTTTGCTCAGAGCCTGGGGGTGATGGATGCAGAATCCTTTCATAAACGGAGCTGCCCTCTGATTTGTCATCACTCCAAGTACTTTGCAGTTTTATAAAATAGGCCGACAGGTTAGGTCAGTCCTTGTAAGGAGGCAGCAGGTTTGTGTTTTTTTCAAGATTGAGTCAGTTGCTTATGTAAGAGAGGAAAAAAGTTTCACAGGAACCGTGCTGTCTTGCGCTTTAAAAGATAAGGGAGATAATACATGTATGAAGGGCTTGGTTAGAGTGAGGAGTCCAGTTCATGAGACAGCTGCCTTGCACTACTGATGGTTCTTTAGTTTGTAATGCACTATAACACCGTGCTCTTTCTTCCACTTTCATACTAGGTATTGCTGAGGGCCCTTTCTCTGGAAATAATATTGTGTGTGGAAAGTGTAGTGAGCTAGAGAGAGAATGGGCTTCAGATTTGGTCACAGGGCCCTAGTTGAGTTCCTCAGCCTCAGTTTGCTCATCTCTGAATGGAAGTGATCAGGTCTTAGGGATGATTATACATGATGGTACTCTGAGGCCAGCTCAATGCACTGCCTTCTCCTTTATACTTCTTATTACTGAACTTTGAAAGATTATGGTAAATGTTGCCTTAGTCATACAACGCAGTGCCTGTGGAGTTTGCCTTGGGAAAGAACACAACCAAGTCTGTGACAGACTGTTGCACTGGCTGCTGGCTTCATGCTGGCAATTTTCAGGGTGGGGTTGCTGTCCTTGGTCCAAGAGAGCGAAAGTGCACTGATGAGGGATGATTGATTTAGACTTGTGCAAAGACAGATGCTAAGCGTTTAATGTCACGTAACTAAGTAGGATATAGGGCCAGCTCCTGTTGAAATACAAATTATGATAAGCTGATAATTAGTTGTGCCTGGATTTGTGCTGTGTAAAGACAAGTAGATTGCTAATGCTCAAGAATAAATTCTCTTAGTAAGGTGGTCTTTTTGGTTCTGGACAGCCATCGTTCTTAGAGAGGTCTGTCGTCTGCTGATAACCGCTGCTTTATTCTTTTGCCAGTATCGCCGTATTTCTTTTGTTAAATAAACAGATTACCAGAGGAGGTATTATTTAAAAGCTCTGTAGCTCCGTGGCCTGGTTAGTGTAATAATTGTGTTCAGAGAATGCCTGTCTTGTAGTTTGTGACCAAAGTTAGCTACTGGGGTTGGTTATCAATAAGTTAAGCTCCTGAAATACACTGGTGCTATTGTATAACCTGAGCAGACTGCAGCTTCTTCACTGCTCCCCAAGTAATAGTGGGTGGGACAGGAGCAGCACGAATGTCATTGCAGGAGAGAAGGAGCTATCAGATGGAGAAGACCAGAGATTTTTATTCCAAGGATTAAATGTTCTGCATATGTGAGCTTGTCAACATTTTTTTATGCTCCACTTCTACCTACTTCATTCTTTTTAAAGTTTTCTTTTGAAAATTTTTGAGATAGAAATGTTTATTAAATCATCCCAAATACTTTGGGCTTACAATCACTTTGGATAAATGCAAATTAATCTTTTAAAAAAATTTTATTGCTAGGCATTAATTAACACTGATAATAAGGCCTATTTTGCTTAAATGTAAAAACTAATTTTACAAAGTGTGTTCTGACGTAAAGCATGTTTTCTTTCTTTCTTATTTTAACATACAGCTGTGCAACCATATTGCCTCTGGGAAAAAATGTCAGTATGTTGGGAACTGTTCCTTTGCTCATAGTCCTGAGGAACGAGAAGTGTGGACTTACATGAAGGATAATGGAAGTAAGTCTGTATACTCTGTGTCCTTAATGTCTGAGAAGTCCAGCTCTCTTGAAAGTCCTTTTTCTCTATAAAGATGCCAACTTTGGGCTGGGGAGACAGCTCAGTAGAATAGACGCTTGCCTGGAAAGCGCAAGGTCCTGAGTTCAATCCCCGGTACTGCCAAAAAAAAAAAAAAAAAAAAAGATGCCAGCTTCCTGTAAACACAGAAAACAATTTTCGTTCTAACAGTCACAACCTGTTTCCTCAGTAACTGTTGTTGGCAGTGGCACAGAAATGTGCCCAAGCCTTGGTGCGCTGGAATCTGATTTCTGGCATTTTTGGTTAGACTGGCTTGCAGTACAAATGTATAGGTCTGCCTCTTCGCGGCCATAGAGAAAAATGATCTGAGGAAGTTCATTTTCTCCCTGAGTCTTTAAACCATGTGGTCCCCTCCTGTTGTGATGAGTCACTCTCTGACCAACCTGGTAGAGGGAGGGTTTCTTCAGGGAATCCTTCCTTGTAGAACAAAGCCAGACTCAGAGGCCCAGGGAGAAAATGTCTCAAGTTTATTGTGGAGCCTTTGAAAGGAGTGTTAGACCACCTTTCATTTTTTAAAATTTTTTATTTGTTACCAGGTCTACAGGGTCTCACTCACACAGATCGGACTCGTAGTGATTCTCCTGTTTTCAGCCTCCCAAGCAATGGGATTACAGGCGCACACCAGCACACCCAGTCTGTCTCCACTGTCTCAGTGTACCCTGGGACAGGGCTGGCACAGCACACCAGGGATCGAACCCCTGTCCCTGCGTCTGCCTAAGTAGGCACTTTAAACCATTGAGCTATCTGGCCGGACTTCACCTTTCACTTTTGACCATAAAATACTTTACTACATGGATGATTATGTAAACTAGTGGAATGTATGAGTACTGCCTGCAGTCTGGATTGTAAAGATAAGCCAGATTTCAGGGTCTCACCTGCCCTGTGACTTGTGTGGAAGGGACTCCCTCTAGCTGTCTTTTGTAGTACAGGGACTATACTGGTTCCTCCTAAGGATCTCCATCTTTAGCAGAACCTGCTACTGCTGGTCTTAAGGGAAAAGAATTTCTAATTTATTGCTAATCTGAGCCTAATGACCTACTGTTTGAAACATTCAAGAAGACAAGCAGCACACATTTTTTTTTATTTTTTT